AGTTCAAATATCCCCCTCTTCAGTCATAGAACTATGAACTGGATCAAATATGTGTGCAAGGCATCATCTCAGAAGAACTAGAAATACATTCTCTCATAGTTCCTTTAAGTAAAGCATGTATTTGTGTATCTTCAAGCTGTTTGGACGTTGGTTTTTATGATATTTTTTCAAGATCAGAGGTAAGCATGCAGATGTTAAGTTTTCAGGGTTATCTGTTTTTTACTCCCTCTCTTTAGATACAAGCAGACACAGAGTTCTTACCAGTGTTCTCGATCTGTAGCCCTCATTAATTCCACAGTATGCGCACAGGGCTGAATGGGATTGCCCGGCCATCCCGCAGGAGATGGGCGTCATTTGCTCTTCGTAAGGAATTTACAATCTAGGAGAGGAGATTATAGTATGAAGGTATTTTTTAATCCTTCAAAATAAATGGAAACTAGCAGCTCTGTAATGACTTCAGTTATTTTTTTAGCATCTGGGAATGCAAGTTATTAAGCCCTAAAAAGCTGAACCATTCTGGCTCATTTGAATCAGTAAGTCTTCTCCTTATCTCTATCCTAGGCTGTATTGCTTGTTTTTCTTCCTATTTTCCCACCGAATTCCATTTTTACAAAAAAAAAAAAAAAAATAGGAGCACCCCTCTTTGACAAGTGTGGTCCACAATTTGTTTTAATAAAAGGGCCATTTCCCTTTAACCTTCTTTTGTCCCTCATATACTTAGAGAATGATTGGCTATTTACTATATCTTTTGTTGGCTACATCGTATTTCTTGAACTGACTTTTTGGCTTTTATTCATACAACTGTGTAATAGTTCTCAGTGCACTTCTTTAGTCATTTACCTTTGGTTTCGTTTTTTATTTGTCCCATTGGAGATTGAGTGCCCTGGGCAGTTCTTTGTTTAGTTGATGAGGATTCCTTCTATTTTTTTTCTCTACATCTTCCTGTTTTGTTTCTTTCATGCAAATGGTCATGGCATTGGAACGGTTTTATTTCACTATTGTCATTTTATTTAGGCATGTCTAGCTTTCTGTGCTGTCTTGTGGGCATCTTTTTTGTTTTCTTTTTTGAGGCAGTGTTTCCCTATGTAGTTCATGCTGGCCTTGAACTCCCTGTGTAGGTCAGACTGTCCTCAAATTCGTGACCATCCTCCTGCCTCGGCTTCTCCCGAGTGCTGGGATTACAGATGTGCACCACTACCCCTGGTTTGTGGGCATTTTAAAGAGCTGATCAAGGAGTTCTGTTAAACTTACTTAAAATAAAGTATTTTTCCCTTAGGTATGTATTTTTCTTCTTTGCAAATCCTGAGTTTTTATCAGTTTATGGATATTTTATTTCTGTAAATCTATAGCTAACTCCTAGCCCTTAGATCAGTTGTACTGCTTTATTGATTAGTTAGGCAATGATAGCTAAGGAGGGGGTAAATATTGCTATATATATATGTTTCTATTTGGATAGAACATATGCTTATTCATGAATTTGACATGTTGTTTGAAAATTTCTCTTGCTCGCTTAGACAGTGCATATACTAAAATTGGAAAAGTTCTCATTTGAGATTTTATTCTTTTAGGGGCTGGGGAGTTAGCTCAGCGGCACAGTACCTGCCTCGCAAGCGCGAGGTTGTGAGTTCAATTCCCGATACCGGAACCCCCCTCCCCCAAAAAAGAGATTTTATTCCTTTAAATACGTATTTTTGGCTGATCTGATTATTGAAGTGATAGTTGTTTATACAATGATCAGACTTCACCATCTTAGGGAAGGGGCACACTGTACAGACTCTAAGTGACTTTATGAATTGTCATATGAAAGGCAAACTAAGCAGGGTAATTCAGTCATTTCTGAGCTTCTGCAGGTACACTGGACAGCAATTTGTTGCCTTATTAGATCTCAGCAACTCGTAACACCTCATGGAGAATAGATTTTAGTCCTGTTCTTTTGTAACTCCCGCTGGCTAGAGTGGTAGAAATTGGAATGGTACCAAGAACCACCCATTCTGCTGGATAAACTCATGAGTTCTGGAAAATTGAAAGTTATCACCAAGGCAAATTTAGAAACACAAAAGATTTTGTCTATAACAATTAATTTTATAAACTTATGTAAGTACAGAGATTTTAAGCCCATACTACTTAGGCCTTGGTTTACCACAAAAACTTTGCTAAATGGACAAGAACTTGGCATATGGGAAAGTATTTGCTATATAGGATTTTCTGTATCTACATGTATGTCCCACCGAATCTTGTTTAAATTTAGATTAACCACTCTTCCCCAAGGGGACTCTTTCCCTTTTTGGTCCAATAAACTGCATCAGTTTCTACGCCTAGAATAGCATTACATTTTGTAACGTCATGTAGATAGAACACAGTGAGCTTGAACTAGCTCTGCTTTTTCTCGTTTTCTGAAGATAATCATAAAGCCTTTAAAGCTGAGATCATATTTAAAATAGGTTTAAGGCTTGTATATGAGATTGACATTTATAGGAGATAAATCTGAACTCTGTGTCTCCAGACCCCAAATTGTATTTTGACATTAAATATCACCTTTCCATCTAGTACCATAAATTGCAGTGCTGGATTAGGTTTGGTGATGCGTATTTTCTGTACTCTGCTTTTCTACCTTTGTCAGCAGCTCCCTTGAGGAGGGGCAATGGAGAACTTCCAGTCCATACCCAGGGATGTCATGTGAGGAGATAGTTGATGAATTTCATTCTTAAATTAAGAAAAGAAAAATTAGACACATATGGTAAGGGCATGATCAGCTGGAATTCCTAGGCAATTGAAGTTTAGTAGTAAAAGGAAACTTTCTAATAACTTAGGGCTAACTGGTCTCCTTCCTTTACTTAAAACCCCAATTTTCAAAAAGCTGTCTAAAATGTCTGAACAGTCTTTCAGGCCTTCAGTAGAATTTATTGAACCTTACTTTCCTGAGGGCATTAGAAGACAGTAGCGAAGTTATATTCCATATATGTGTTTTAGCATCTTGTGTAGGTATGTTGCTTTATTGTGCTCATTTGCATGACTATGTATTTATCTCTGTCAGTTCCTTTAGGCAGTGACCTCCATGAGGGCAGAGAGCAAGTCTCTCTCATTCAAAATTGTCCCATTAGCATATGGCAAAATACCTGGCACATAAATGTTACACGTTGGACTCAGTGTTCTGTGAAGCAGGTGCCAGTTGGATTAGCATCTAAATTCAATATGGGCTTGGATTTGCAGTAGATTTCCTGGGGAACATACTTGTGAAAGCAAATGGATAAGGTGCTGAGAGAGGCTGCAAGAGCAACATTAGACTATAGGGTAGGTAATATTTCTGCGGAGTAGAGCGGAAAGGAAGGAAAGTTGGGTAGGAAAAACCTTCGAGTCTCCCGTAGTTTTAAGGAAAGTTTTGGCAAGATTGGTGGGGAGCCTTCAAGCCGAAGTTCCTGGGGAATGAAGTCTTCTGTCTCACAGGACTTAGTATCTTTCCTTGCTCAGTTGCTGCTTGAGAGCATGCCCTGGGGAGTATGGCTTTTGTACAGCACGGTGTTGGACTCAGAGAACAGCAGCTGAGGCTAATAATCAATTACTCCCCACCGCAGGAGAGCTGAGGTGCGCATTTTCATGGTCACCATGGAAGGAGCTCAATAAATGCTTATTAAAGAGAGAATTTGAGTTAAACAAGTTTCACAGTAGAAGAATATGCGCTTAGAACTATGAAGCCCTAGTTCAGTCCCCAACACTAACCAACAGATAGGAGTTGCAGAAAGGCAGGAGATTGGGCTTAATATTAGTTGAACTTTAATATTTGCTAACATTTCTTGTTGCCTTATGAGAAAAGTCTTCTTTGCCTGCCCTTTATAAAAAGACAAGTTCTTGCTACTACTACATTTCACCGTATTTCTCTCTGCTTGCTTTATAAAAAAATTTAATGGCATTATTGAGCTATAATTGATGCATAGTAGGCATCACATATTTTAAGGGTACAGTTTGATAATTTTGACATGTTTGCCCACATTCAGTCATTATAATAAAAATAACGAACACACCAGCATTCCCTAGTTTCCTTGCTAATCCATTACTCCCTCCTTCTGACCTTCTCGCGCCTTTCTCTCGCTAATAACCACTGAACTTTTTCTCTCACTGAACATTAGTTTCTGTTTTGTACATCTTTGATGTAAATGGAATCACAGTGTACACTTTCTCTGATCTGGCTTATTTCACTTTGCATAATGCTTTTGATGTTTATCCTTGTGGTATCATGTGTCAGGCTTCATATTTACGGCTACATAGAATTCCATTGTATGGATATGCCACAGTTTGTCTTCCCTTCCTTACTTTGTTTTATTTTCTCTATAGTACATGTCGTCATTTGACATCATGCTTACATTTTTATTTGTTTACTACCCCTTGAAATATAAACGCTATGAGCGCAGGGACTTTGATTTGCACATTTTTATAATCATCGTGCCTGGCATACAATATTGTTGGGTGAATAAATAGGTGTTGAATGACTTGCATTTTGCTCCAGAACTATAGCTAAAACAACAACAGGACATAGCATTGATGAAATGCTGGTATTTGAATTAGTTATTCTGAAAAGCAACATGGAGTTAGTTGGCCAGACATACATTTCATTTGGAAAGAACTGGAATCTTAAAAAATTGTTTCTTGATTGTGTTCTTATTCATAAATTATAATCAGAAAAAATAAGTTATAGGAGTGAAGATTGATCTTTTAACAGACAAATATCGATGTTCAGTGGCTGTATTTGGTGCTATAAATTAGTTTATGCAGAATTTATGAGTCAAACCTAGGCAGTTAATTCTGATGATTACTCAAAAAGAATCAGTTATATGAACATTTGGAGGAAAACTGGGATTGAGATAAACACTAATTTTGAAAAATCAAGGTTTTACTGTATTTTGAAAGAAACGCATTGTTTTTTAGCCCTGTTTGCTTTTGTGAGCGTGCATGTTTGTGAGACAGAGATTCTGCTTACTGAAACATGAAAACCTTGTTTGTTTCAGGATCAGATTTGCAAGTATGTCTCCCCAAGGGCCCAACATGCTGCTCAAGAAAGATGGAGGAAAAATATCAACTAACAGCACGATTGAACATGGAACAACTGCTTCAGTCTGCAAGTATGGAGCTCAAGTTCTTAATTATTCAGAATGCTGCAGTTTTCCAAGGTGAGTTCTGGGTGTCATTTTAGATGTGTTGCTCAATGGCATCATTATTTGGGCATGAGGCTTTCAAATGCTAACTGTAATTTATAAAATCCCAATGCAGCATTAATGCTTGATATTAAAAAATCTGCCAGTGAAAGATTCTGGTAAGGAAAAGCAGTTTTAGGAAAGGCTTTATTTCAATCTTTGGAAAAGTACATTGTCAAAAATCATTGTCCAGGGAAAGGGGATATAGCTCAGTGGCACAGCGCCTCCCTGGCAAGCACAAGGTTCTGAGTTCGATTCCTGGTACCAAAAAAAATCATTGTCCAGGGACAGTCTACTTACTTGTATGTGAGGGTTGTAAATCTTTGCAGAAAAACTAAATGGTAATTTCTCTAAAGCTGATCCATAATACTGGCTTTTAGAAAACAAAATTTCTTTAAATTCTTTAAATTCCAAGCCCAGTTTTCTCCAGGGGTGAGTTAGATACCTGTAGAATATGTTGCAAACTCCTTCTGACCACTAGGACCGTTTTCATTTGCTAGGGAGAAACTGGCTTGTTGGCCAGACATTTTTCCATTTGTGCGAGTGGTTGCCTCTCTCCTCCTTGTGAATTTCAGTTCCCATCATGCTTATGTGTGACTGTGAAAGCTGATCTGGCATTACCAGAATGGGCAGCAAATTACATTGTCCCTCCTACTTTAGAGCAGCATCACAGCAGCACGGGGAGGACCCGTCAATTTCAAAGACCTAGCTGGGGGTGATGATGATGATGATGATGATAGTACTAGTGGTGGTGTTAGTGATAACTAGAAGCACTTAGATAGTACTATATGCTACGTACTCCTTTAAATGCTTTACATGTATTAATTCATTTCATCCTCACACTATGAGTATCTGTTAGTATACCCATTTTAATTTTTTTATTACTATTTTAGCTACCTGAAACATTTTTTATTAATACATGTTTATAATATGTAGTGATCATAATGTGAGTATCTCCATTTTAATGGAAGAAAACTGAACACACAGAATGGTTAAATAATATACCTAAGGTCACATAATTATTAAGTGAATCATGATAGCAAAATTTAAACCCAGGTGACAAGGCTCTTAGAATTGATGCTTTTAACTACCCCATAGGCTCTTATGAGTGGAAAAATTAGTTATGTATATGGGGATTTTATCCTTCCTTCAACAGACAGAATCAACTCTTATTTTCTTGTCCTGCAAAGAAAGGATTTGGGTCAAGCAGGAAAATAACACTTTTGACTATTTGATGTTGCAAAGCTCAAGATTTATGGCACTTTTAAAAGAATTAATCTCTGAATTGTTAGGTGAGTTGATTATAGCTTATTTAGTGTATTATAATAAAATTCTTAGAATTAGCTAAGAAAGTTATTCACATTAGCCAATAAAACATACATTCACACCAGTTTCTTGGGTGAAAGCCTCAGGGGATGTTAGGTTGATTATATGAAGTACATTATATAAGCCTCAAGTATTCATTAATCTATTTATGCAGCCAGACTCTTGTGAAGAGTTAGTTGAGACTAACAATTTGGTGATAGAATGAATAATTTAAACTGGTTTTAAAAATACATATACCATTCATGTACTTCTTAGATTAGTTTTGGAGTTGGTCTACTGGCTAAAAGTGGGGCGCTAGGAATTGATGAGAATTGGGTTGAACGGGAGATCTTTGTCTTACTGTTGGGGTATCCAGGTGCCTTTTTAGAATGAAATATTAGTGATTTGTTTAATTTCTAGAATAACTAAGTCCCCTGATGTGTCATAAGAGCCTGGATGAAGGGCTTGGGAGAGTAGTGACATTGGTATTGTAGGATGCAGAGCAGCTGTCATGGCTGTCCATTGAAGGTTCTGGGTGTCAGCACTTATATTTCTGTCCAGTCCTGTACTTTATATATTGTATTTTCTAGGGCTGGAACAGCATGAGACTTTGAGAGTGTGAGTTCTGGCAATATTTTGATTGGGTAAAATTCCAGATAATGGCTGCTGTAACATGGAAGGTGAACATTTACCAAGCGAACAGAGGGTGGAAAGTGGGGACAACACCTGCTGGTTGTTCTGTCTCTGTCTCACTGTCTCCATCTCTGTCTCTCTGCTTCTGTCTCTCTGCTTCTGTCTCTCTGTCTCTGTCTCTGTCTTTGTCTCTCTCTCTCTGTCTCACACATGCACACACACGCACACACCCCTTTCTTGAGGTGTGGGAATAGGCCAGAAGACTAGGGCGAAGGACTAGCAAAGAAACATGGAGACACTAAATGCTATCTAAACTCATTTTTCCTGGTACATTCAACCTTGTCATTATTTGTATTTATTCTTTGTCTTCTTACATTCCCTTTTCCTTTTCCACTTAAAAAAGTAAGTCCCATAAAAATAAATCATTGCCCCAAACCTTAAACAATTTGTGTCATGTTTGGAGAGACTTTACCCACAAATCTATTTTGTGGCAAGCATTTGGAGAGAGAAGACTTAAAACCAGAGACCACTACAAGATGCTGTGTTATTAATTGCTATGAAAACAGCATATCTACTTTCCTTTTTCTTATAATTTGTTATTATTTGAATGAATTGCAATAGAAGGGCATTACTGTTTTTCCCCTAAAATAGTCTGGTAGACCAGGTTATTGAGAAAATTACCCTATTACTTTGTATGAAATTCGATGTGGCAGCTTTTTCTACCACGTGAAGTTGAAGAAAGCTTACCTTGATCTTGGCATAGACCCACAGTCTCTTTAGGATTCTTTCACTAGTCCACATTGGGGGGATTTAAGCAGTGAGTTTTTCCTGCAAATATGTGCACAGTTCCACGAGCAATCCTTACTGCCTTGATTTGGATTTTATGTCTTTATTTGCAAGAAGCCTTTGCCCCCATAAATGAGCCTGGGGCCCTTTGCTACAGTGGTTGGAGTACTCTCATGCTAATGTTGTTTTGATAATGATTGAAGCATTAAAAAAGTTGTTCTTTATTTTCAATCTTTGCATTGCCTCGTTTCCTAAATTTAATTTACTTAGATGTGCTTAGTAAAATGGGGCAGCACAATCGTTTTTTGTTTCTGCTTAATTAATTCTTTTTGAAAAACTCCACTAAAAGTAGATTTTCCTTTCTGCACTTGTTTCCTTTCCCTTACCTTGTAATAATGATAATGATAATAATAATAGTGGAAATTTATTAAGTGCCTAATGCATGATGCTTACTTTTACATAATTATCTCATTTAATTTTCCCAGCAGCCCTATGAAGTCTGTACTGTAATTATCATCACTTTACAGATGAGGAAACTCACTGATGCCATAGCTTTTTCCAGGCCATCATGTGATATAGATTTCCTTGTTCTTAGTGTACTTGGGGTAAGGCAAAATTAAGAAGTGGTATTTGTGGTCCTTGTGAAGAAAAAATGAGATAGAATTCTAATTTTTAAACTACCCTCAATACTTCTATATCTTAAGCTTTGAGTTCTGTTTTCTTTGTAGAGTTCCACTATGACTCTCACGTGTCTACTACAGGAAATATTTAGGGTGAGTCTAGGGTTCTTCTGTATGTTGGATAATTCTAGTCTTCCCCAAGGCACCAGTGACTTTGAATGAAAACAGCCTCTTCAGAATGCAGCAACATTGTTCTTTTACTGGAAATTGCCTATTCTACAACTTGAGCTTTCTTTATCGGAGAGAGAGAGAATAGTGGTTAAGCAGTAAAAATTGCTTCACATGCAAAACACCATGGAGCTCCTGCTTATATATTTGATTCATCTGAGATCTCTTTGGGTCCTTGCTTGAAGCTACTATTCTGAATTAATGCATGTTGTTTACAAGCTTTATTTTCTGGCTTTCTAGCAAGAAAAACAGATAAAACATTTAAATAGTTAAAGAGACACATTGTGAAAGACTCCTAGGGACAGGTGCATATGAACGGAAAGAAGCAACAAGTGACAGGATGGGTGACTTAAAAGTAGGCTTAACACACTAAATGTTGTGGCTGGGGTATTTATAGATGAGGGTATCCCTATATGCCTTAGTAGTCCATATGATGCAGTAGATCTAACAGTTGATGTCTATAGTGCTACTTGTGAATCAGCAAGTAAAGGTCAAATTATGCTCACTGTTTTTTCTTAATATTCCATTTTATAAGGCTAAAATAGTTTTTGGTGCTTATAAACAGTGGAAGAGCTGGACATGGCAATTATCTATAATCGCAGCACTCAGAAGGCTGAGGCAGGAAGATTGCAAGTTCTAGGCCAAGTTGGATAACTTAGCAAGACCTTGTCTCAATAAAAAAAGGGGCTGAGAGCTAGGGATGTATCTTAGCAATCCTTGGATTCAGGCCTCAGTACTGGAATAGAAAGAAAAAATCAGTAGAAAAAATGCTGGGCTCGGAATCAGATAATTCAAGTTCTAATTCTACATGTACACTTAAGAGCTTATGGTTTGGGGTGGTGATTTATACTCTAATAGCTTCAGTTTTGTTATCCATAAAATGGGAATAAAATTCCAGTCCTGCTTATCTCTTAGAAACAATGTATGTGAAAGTATCTTGAAACCCATAAAACATGATATACAGGAATTATCTAGACAGCTCATTTATATGGACTCTTTTACCCCAGGTAGTGCCAAATAAATGAAACGTCATCATATAGACATTAAGCTAGACAAGGCAGGAGTTCATGATACACTTCAACAACTTTTACCATATATAGATGATACACATACACAGATAGCTCCAGTGTGCAGGTAAGAGTACTTAGGGAAATGACCCTGTGGTAAAGGGATCCAGTTTATGCACTCCTGCGTGTGAAGCTTTACTGTTTGAAATATCAACAATGCCAGAAGCAATCCCTTTTTAGCTTCCAGAACTTTCTCTTCTGGCTGGTGCCTGGTGCATTTTTACACACAAAAAAGCAGCTAGCTCAGGAAGTTTGGTTTGTGTTCAGGCCAGATTTGAATTGTGTTTTCTGGTCCACACTATCAAGGCAGAAAGAAGGAAAAGGTGGGTCTAAGTTT